TATCAACCGACTTAAACCGGCATACGTCATAGCCGATTTGGACGACAACGACGCCAACATCGATGCCGATGATGACAGGACAATCGAGTTTCAGCATACTCCAGCCATTCCAGATGCGCCACCCAAACCACTTGTGCCAGAACAATCGCAAGTACCTGTCGCGCAACCACTTCCGGTACTACCACAGCCCCCACCGCCGCGAACGACGCGGTCAGGACGGCGGGTTCGATTTCCGGACCGGTTACAAGTAGGATTTTCGTGACTTCATCACTGGAAGGGGGGTACTGTGGCGATATCCACCACATGTGTGAAAATTGTTTCATTTTGTTTATATATTGTAAATACCTTTCTAAAATATTTCTTTTCTATTTTCGATTAGTGTCTATAAAAATTCCTTCCTTTTGTAAATAATCTATTGTATCTTGCTTATCTATTTAAATAACTCTATTACTGTACTTTCCTATAATCCCTGTAACATTTCATCTTTCGTGTACTAACCGCATAACGTCTGTACCTTTCATTCCTTCCTAATTGCAATTTTACGATCGGTTTCTTCGGTGGTTGACACTGCCATCAATTTCTTGGTATTTCTAATCTTAAAGTTTCCATATTTCAATACTTCCCTACTCGTATCTACTACCGTCTCTATTCCTTCCTTGTAGAACAGTTTTTCATTTTCCGTAAATACAAAATCAGTTCGTCTTACGCCTTCAGCAGAACAAATCTCTTCTCTTCTCTTTCCGTTACGCCAGTTGTTGTTAATATTAATTTGAAATCATCTTTTCGATTTAAATTTTACCCACCACAAACTACCTCAAATTAATGAGGGAAAAATTGTTGCTGTTGTGACGCCCCCACCGGGAATCGAACCCGGGAGCTTAGGCTTTACACACCAATGTTCTACCACTTGTAGTGGGTAAAATTTAAATCGAAAAAATTATTTCAAATTAATATTGTTACTAACAAGTTTTTAATTTGGCGCAAAAGGTGTAAAATTGTGTTGATATGAACACAATCGCAATATTTAAGTTGTTATTACCAAATGGCAACCTTCGTCAATAAACCTACTATAATAATTATTATTATTATGGATACCACATATAATAATTAACCTACTAAATAACCAACCTTGGGACTACATTGTACTGTCCTTAATAATTATAAGGACGAACAAAGTTGGGTAATGAGCTATTCCAAAAGCAACAACAATGTGTATCTATACCCTTAATTATGAGATTATATAATGTTATGATTTGCAGTATTGTCATGTTCCTTGTTGTTGTTATTATTTAACTATTATTATCACGTTTTATACAGTGTCATAATCATTCCAAACCAGATCATGATAGGATCTGAAACTATTAATACTATAGAACGTGCACTTTTATAACTGATATTTCACAATCGTTACTATGTCGCCTCTGTCAAGATTCATTCTCGTTAATACCTCCTTAAAAATTGAATTTGTATTGCGTATCTAAAGAAATAAAAAAAAAAATACTACATAAAACGGTTTAATGAGGAAAAGCAAGTCAAACATGCAGACGTTCCTTGATGAAGAGTCTGTTTGCCATCTTTATGAGATTGTGGATATCTTTCACGAAGCGTCTTATCGTTTTAATTTCGTTATATTTTATATATTTTCTAATGGGAGCTAAAGTGCAGCGGCGATTAATATTCGTGAGGACACTGGTTCCATTTCGGACCCGCCTGTCTTGGTTCAAGTTCTTTAAAAAAAAAACTTTTGGGTGTTTCAGTCCCACCAGCCCGTAATGTTGGTGGGCGGGCAGTCCCTCCGGACTATGCCGGAAGGCCCTCTTCAGCTTGCTTTCAGGAATCGTGGGAATGGGTGGATGGTGATACGGGTAAGAAAGATGAGACGGACGAAATGAAGACAGAAGAGAGTGAAAGATTATCAGTGGAATATCACTGCCTCAGCATTTGCCTAAATGATCCAAGGAAACCACAGAAAAACTTGGACCAAGGCAGACGGACCCGGAATCGAACCGGCGTCCTCCCGAATGTTAAGCAATGGTCTAGACCTCTAGGCCATGCCGCTCGGTCAAGTTCTTTGTGATCCAAATCCTTAAATACCACCAGCTACCCAATCTCAAACCCTAAAAGGCCCAATCGCATAGGCATCGAATGAAGTTTTTCTTTCACGTTCCGAAGTCATCACTCGAAACTGTTGAAACTTAAAAAAAGTTCGACATTTGAACCGTGATAGAAGCTGTTAGTCTAATGTTTCTCAAGCTTGTAGAGATGACATCCCCAGAGAACATGACGGAGGCATATATGTATTCCTAATAATCACATTAAACAAGATCATCTGCATCAACTGTGGATTCGCCCAAGAAGGAGAATCAATCTAGTCCATGGTCATCAAACTCAAATACAATATCATTTCTATAACCCGAACATCAAGGGAGACGCCAAAAAAAAAGTTATAGAGTTTTCGACTTATGGAGGATTTTGACTTAGGCGGATTTTGATTCGATTTTATTAGATGTTAAGATTTGGTGTACTTACATTATCGGCAAATCCTTAAAGTCGAACTTAGTTTTCTTCGAACTATAGACGTAATAAGTTTCAAATTATCAAGTTTTCAAATAAAACATTCGAGTTATAAAAGGAAAATAAGTACCAAAATGGCTTGCAGGGACTCACTGATTATTTCGACTAATAGAGGGTTGAGATTTCTAGTAATGGAGCTTTTGGGGCTTGAAGGGAAGGGAACGAAACATTTTTTCGAGTTTTGAAGGTTTTCGACTTATCAGGGTTCAACTTAAAGGGGTTCATGAAAGTCTTGTACGTGTCAAAATCTGAAAATCTTTAAATCGTACATATCTCGACTTAATGACTATATGCACGCATAGACGACACATGATGGCTGTTGTAATTTGAAATTAAATCCGTTTGTTCAACAACGGCGACTTACTGTTAAGCAATTTTTTACATGTGTTACACGTCCGTTCGTTCGAAATTGGGTTGCCAAGCTTTGAACAGCCGACGTGGCATGACGTTCATTGCGTTGTTGTGCCGTTTGCATTCGCAATTTATCACGACCATGTACTCTCCTCCTAGAGACAAACCATCGTGTATATATGAAGCTTCCATACATGTGTTACGAACTGGGCATGACAATGAGTCATGGTGCTCGTTTGATGACGACAGTGCTCTTACAGAAAGCTCACCATCATCGTCATCAGATTATCATCATCATGTGGTTACACCGTTGTTATTGACTTGCATAGCACGTACAAAAGCACGCATGCACGCAAGCACGCACACAAGTAATCACGCGCACGCATTTGTAAAAAAAAAATGCCAAATATCAGTTATTGTTTCATAATCATTGTAGTTTTTGTTCAGTTCAGTTCAATTCAGTTCAGTTGCAAGAAGATATCGTGTGTATTGAAGACCCTCTTTTCAGCAAACTCGCTTGCCCACGTGTCCACCCTCCTGTTGACCAACCCTCTACATCTCCACGCTCCTCAGTTGTTTAAAAACGAAATCATAATGAAACTTTTGATGAATCAGTTTTTGTTGCAAAGAACTTACAGGAAGAACGAGATCAATAGACCGTCACTATAACAAATTCATACAAAATGACAATCCCTTAATTATTTTTTATGCTGAAAATATAAACAATTAAAAATAGTTGTATAGATCAAGGAGCTAAACAAATGCGAAATATAACATTTAGTATGCTTGGTCACAAATCTATCCAAATCTTTCTGATGATAGCTTTAGCTTGAAGTATGTCTAAACCATTCCAACAAATTATGGATTAATGCAGTGGTTTCCAACCTTTTTGTACCTGCGCCCCCCTTAAAAAAAAGAATTGTTGCGCCCCCTTAATTTTTCTAACAATCTAATTTCATAAATACCCAACTGATATTATAATTTATTTAATGGGCTACAAAATAATATACAATATTATGTAAAAATATACATAAACAAATAATTATTTATTATATGAAAAATTCGCGGCGAGGATTGTGGATTACGTATACCTATTTTGCTGATTAATTTTTTTTGACAACTATTCGACTTTTTTGGTTTGTATTCGAAAATTATATTTTGGAAACAGCTGCATGCCCTTTGCAACAGTGTCGCGCCCCCCTAGGGGGGCGTGCCCCACCGGTTGGAAACCACTGAATTAATGGTTTTTCTTTGAAGTTATTAGGATATCTCAAAATCTTATGTTTGTTTATTGCTTCGATTTGGGCCTCAACATACCATTTGATTAGTAATTTTTTTTGTTTCAGATGGACAACTATTGGTAATGATTAGTACGACAGCAGATTTTTCTGATGAAAGCTAAGGAAGCATACACATTCAAAGCCAATATGATCGTCATTAGTATAGAAATGGCGTCTAAAATATTTTACAGAAAAATACTTTGAAAATATTCTCGGTAAGTTAAATCGAGACATGCTGCAGAATGGAAGCGATAGAAACTGCATCAATAATAATTTGCTTCCAAGCAATTCTACCAGCAGTAGAAATGATACCAAAGAACGAAATAATAGTCGCCCTAATATCCTTATCCAAAACGGCTGTGATTTTAACAGAAATTACGAGACCAATGACGAAAACGGTGGAGCTAAACGAGAGGAGTTTAGGAATAAGGATAAAATAAAATGCGACACCGATTTTCAAAAAAGACTGACGAGAGACAAACAAAGTGGTATTAAACTTACCACGAAAAATGTAAATGGAGCCAAAGATGACAAAATTTATCTTACAAAGGAACGACGAAATGAGTCAAGCCTGGTAATTGTTTTGGTTTTAATGTTTTTTCTTTTTAATATAGTGCAATGCATCATCATCATAGAGTCGTCAGTCCTAAAACTGGTTGGACACGTACCTCCACTCTTTCCTATCCTGAGCTAAACTTCGCATTTGCCTAAAACTAGAACAGCCCATATCCTTAACTAATTGCAAACAGTAATCTAACCTAGGTCTACCTCTACCCCTCCTAACTCCTGTTTCTGCCTCTAATATGTCTCTGACTAGATCTTCATGCCCGAGAAGGTGTCCTATACCAACCTATCTCGCTTATTTTTTATTAATTTCCATAGAGTCCTCTGTTCTCCTATTCTTTCTAATACCTCTTCATTTCTAACCTTTTCTACCCACGTTATCCTCATCATCCGCCTATAACACCACATTTCGAACGCTTCTAACCTTTTCTTTTCCGCCGCNTTGAAAATAATTTTTTTATTTAATTATAGTGCATGAAAATTGTCAAAATAATCAACTTTCAACCCCCATAACTTTTTATGGGTTGAGACCGCCTCAAAATTTTTATGGGATTTTACTCTGGTGACCACCCTCTTTCGGTCCCCGCTACCCTCTTTCAATCTCCCCTACCCCACTACCATCTAACCCCCATAACTTTTTATGGGGGTGAGACCGCCTCGAACTTTTTATGGTACAGTGGTAGGGGAGACCTCCTCTTTCGATCCCACTCACCCCCTTTGGGGGTAGAGGCCATCATCTAGACATTTACCAAATTTTATAAGAGCTGACAATACTGGTAGGTATATTCAGCGATCCCTTATCATGAATATTAGCAAGAATTATCAGCATTGACAGGATTTATTAACAAGTAACGAAGTTTTTCCTTGTTTTTCTATTAAAGTTTTAAGTCTTGTATATAGTGTTGTGTTATTGCAAATAATAATCTTTAAAGCAGCAAGAGTAGGTATTTAATTTGACTATACAAGTCCATTGGTTTATCCTGAGCTTACGACATGACGATAAGTAGCGAATTACGCACAATAGTAAATTATTAATAATGATAACAGCTATTGTCTATATATAATTTGTCGAATAACTGAGCATGAAACATGCGTATATGTATGTATTTCTATTTTCGTTTGGTTTTTGCGATTCCACACACACTGAAAAAGATACGGTACGTGCTAAATCCAATTTGTAAGACGTAAACTGCCTCGAGCAAAGTGCTCCCACCGAGTGGAACGTTCCTCTTCTTTTTCGCCCCTTATTTACTACGAAAGTGTACACTTGTAGCAGCTAGAGAAGCGCGTCTACGACATTTCCGTCCCGATACGATACAATTTCCGCCGTGGCGAACGGCGAACATCATGATTCCAATATTCGCCACTTCCACTTTCCGATTCTCGCTCTGGAATTGAACGACACGTTGACAACCGTCGTGTCAACGAAAATAACAACCAACTATCGAAGAAGCTTCGTCCTAGTTGGTACAACCAATAGGATTCCTAAAGGGAACAAAAACGAATGTCATCAGTTTGCGAGAGATACGATCAATAAATGTTTCCATTTGCCTATAAAAATTGAAAAAGTTCTGATGATAATTATGACGGTAGTGATTGTATCGATAGAACAAGGATCCATATAGATTTTTTTTTATTTTTATTAAAAGACTGAAGCATGTGTGACCAAAATTTCAAATAAGAAGAAATTCCAAGGATGATATCCCGTTGTCTCGTCCGCTAGATTTGCAATTATTGTTTAAAGAAAAGGTTAGAAGCGTTCGAAATGTGGTGTTACAGACGAATGATGAGTATAGAGAAAATTAGAAATGAGGAGGTATTAGAAAAAATAGAACACAGGACTCTATGGAAGTCAATAAGGAATAAGCGAGATAGGATAAGGACACCTTCTTAGATATGAGAAGTTAATTAAAGACATATTACAAGCAGAAACGATAGTTAAGAGGAGTAGAGAATGACCTAGATTAAACCACTGGTTACAAATAATTAAGGACATGGGATGCTCTGGTTCTAAAGAAATGCAGAGATTAGCGTGTCCAACCAGTCTTAGGACTGACGATTTTATGATGATGATGAAAAATGTAGAGACATATTGGTGGTATCTTGATAAAAATCTGGGCATTCAAAGAAAATTATAAGTACAAAACAGAGGACAATCTTCAGCCTAAGGTAACTTTGCTAGTAAGACATTTTGGGAAACTCGGTAGTCGTGAATAAAACTGACGTGTAATAGTATTAATATTAATTCTTTTAATTTCCTTTTTTATTTTATTTTGAGAAGTGAGGAGAACTAGAGGACCTTTCAATGTGTTATACTCCGACCAACTATCCAGTCTCCAATTTTTCATACACCAGGGTCAACTTTTAGAAAGTTAGCCCCGGTGGGTAGTTGTCGAAGAGATATTTTTTATTGAGGACCATAAATAAATCGCCTGTACGTTCAAAGGCCAGTTACGGTTATTGTACAGACGTTTTATTTTTGTCCTCTGAAAAATACTAGTTTGTGTCCTCTACAGACATGATTTAGATACAACTGAGTCAAACTAGAAACATAAACTATAAACGCAAAACCAATTATGCACTAATTTATTTTAAATGAGCAAAGATCATCAAGAAGTTTTCGTTTTTTACCAATAAATTCATATGAATTGTCAAACACCCCTTCTTCGCTGTGTCTGAAATGTAAAATATTCGCTCAATCTTCTTTTCTTCTACAACACACAATTGGAGAACGCCCTTAAGGAAATGAGTTTCCTTCTTCCTTATTACTTTGCCCACCATCTCTCTCCATCGTCTACGTTACATTGCCATCACGAACAGAGAGAATGGATGCATTGAACGCATTATTTGTAGCACGCTGCCATGTCATTCTGTCATTCCCTGGATACAAGAGGTGCGATGACGGAATCTCAATCGATGCGTTACTGCTAGGGAGAAGGCAGAGAGCGAGAGAGAGAGTTATTATGAGCAAACTGACGAAATTTCAACCCCTCGATATTTCCTTCTAACGCTTCTAAATAATGGTGTTAATTCCGATGGAGTTCGTTATAACGAGCGGTAATGTAATTTTTTGGGGACCTCATGTGATTCCCCTTTATATACAGTCTGTTCCAAAAATAAAAACACCTTAGCTGAACCCATCATTATCAGTTACTACATAGAAAACCGTGAGTATAAAACTCGGTTTTCGCGGTTGTTATCCATTAGTCATCGCTTTGAAGGAGGGGTATAAGTAATTTGTTTTTTTTTTTTGGAATACCTCTGTAACCTCAGGTCCTTCAAAATATTTATAACAAACTTTTAGTGGGTAATTAAACAATTTATGACTTCCATTAATAACTTGTTGAGTAGTAGTACTAATAAAATAAATGTCCTATCAACCCTAAAATCGATAAACTGCTAACATTAATTTTATGATTTTTTGAATTTACACGCATACTGCATAACACCACACTTCAAGAGTAAAACCTCTTACGTATAATCTGGAATACGTAATGAACTTTTAAGAGATTAAGGCGTATTCGTGCAGAATCCATTCGTTGTCCATCAGATATGTAACCCTCACGTTTAAATACTGCAGAAACTGTCTTAGTCGTTTACACATATAATGCCGTTTCCCTGACATGACCCTAGTATGCCGCTATCAGTTCGCTTCTTGAGCGATCGGATAATCCACGATCTACGACGGACGTAGCACGGCGGGGGCAGGACGGTATTAAATGTGTGAACAGATGTAGGATTGTTTTAATACCACAATCTTTACGTTCTACCGAGGTATTTCTGAAAGTAGTACCTGTGACCGCACTTACTATCCACAATATTTTTAGTATTTATTATTGTACATAGCTGCAAACCTAATAACAATGGGCTTATTGACTAAATATTACTATTGGGATCCGTCAAATGGGAGGTGCCTAGAAACATGGCTCCGATTAGGGAAAACTTATTGTAGTTCCTATAGTGTACCGTGCAATTTCCAGGTTTTTAAATTACGATAAAATGATAAGTATTGACACAATATGTCATTGGGCTGGCACAAAGCCTCGGAAAGAAAATTTCGTTGAAGGTGAGCGTGTTTTTAATGCCAATCACATTATAAAATTCGGAAATAACAAATCCGGAAGCTAGCCTTCAAATTCTGTCAAGTTTACTGCCTACTTTTTACAAACTTCGGATTTAAAAAGTGATTCACGTTATATAAATGGTGAGGTGATTCTGGGTGATTTAAGCAATATCATATCAACGACTTGCACGTGCAAAGCCGATTTAAGAGAACGTTGCAAACACATTATTGCAACTTTGTTGTATTGCAGCAGGTAGGTTC